GCTGAATACTACTGTAGTTCTTATTTTCCTTGCATAAAAAATCAGAAACTGGGGGCCAAAAGAGAAACCAAAGCAAAATAAACAAAAACAAAAAACAATGGGGTAACTGTTACTTTAAAATCTGATGTGCTCTGTTATTTTTGATGTCACGGTGCATAATAGACAATGTTAAACTAAGGCTACATCTACACTACAGGGGGGAGTCGATTTAAGATACGCAAATTCAGCTACGTGAATAGCGTAGCTGAATTCGACGTATTGCAGCCGACTTACCCCGCTGTGAGGATGGCGGCAAAATCGACCTCTGCGGCTTCCTGTCGATGGCGCTTACTCCCACCTCCGCTGGTGGAGTAAGAGCGTCGATTCGGGGATCGATTGTCGCGTCCCGACGGGACGTGATAAATCAATCCCCGAGAGGTCGATTTCTACCCGCCGATTCAGGCGGGTGGTGTAGACCTAGCCTAAGATGGGAAAATAATATTTATGCTGGTAAACACTGGACTGAGAACAATCACATATCCTGAGAGTTTTAATCTATGAGTTAGAAAAGAATGAGATTCCTTGTGTAATAATTCAGGATGTAATGCAGATACCGGAAACAAGAATTTGTAAATTGTCTTTCTCTGTAATAGCTGAAAGAGATGAAATAAGTTCCTTTTTATTTCCTAATTTTAATACTTAATTATTTGTACTTTATTTGCAGTCTTAAAAGGTAGGTGTTATCATTGGTGAAACCACAGTTACTACAATTTGAGCAGTCCACCTTGCTTACTATTCACTAGAATTTTTTTTGCTGGGGGGTGATATGCACTTACAATACTATTTGCACTTCAGTTTTCACCTGTGAGTTCCATCTGTTATTCTGTAGTATCACAGCATTAAAACAAAATCCTTATAAGGTCAGTGGACCAAGACAATTTTGTCTCCATGTCTTCAAAGGAATTGAGGTTCAAGTACAGAATTGTCATAAAATTTACTCTAGATGGATCTCCTAAACTTTCCTTTTTGATGTTGGAAAGAATTTTTGTGTTTTTGCTTTATGCATAAGAATATCTTAAAGATTTTAAATATCTGCATTTAAATATGTGAAGCTTTTCTAAGTGAGTTTGATTTGCATAAGGTTTTTAATTTACAAGGTGCTTTAGTTGCGGGTGTCTGGAAAATG